GGGACCACCACCACCGCCGGGAAGCGGCCCGTTTGCGGCCGCTCGTCAGAGCCCCGAGCCGAGCTGGCGGGGTGGCGAAGCCCGGCATTCATCACGCCAACGGACGCCGCGACCCGCTCCCAGGCATGATGCACGTGCCAAAAGCAGGGGCCGGGGGAACGGAAAAAGGAGCAAATCCTGAAACCCAGCAGCACGTTGCCCCAACGCCTTCCTTTTGCATCGCACGGGCCGCAGCACCGCCAAGAGAGTCGTCTTGCCCATCTCCCTGACTTTTGCCCAAGAAACCGTGAGCCGTCCTAGAGGCACCAGGAGCGGTCAGCCAGCAGACTCGGGAAGGCTACGCTTTACGGGAAAATAAAGAGATTAGAGGTAGAGAGATTAGAGATTAGAGGCTGCACCTCGTTTGCTTTTAAGCGTTGCAAGAGGTGGATCAGCTTCCTTAGCTGCCCGCTAAGTGCCCACGAAGATACGAGTTCTGGCAACTTGGCATCAGTAGCAAAACTGCCAAAACAAGCAAGAGGTTGAGTTTTAAGCAGCTCGTTTCTGTCCCACCTAACGAGCGTCACCGACGGCAAGGAAGGACAAGCACTGGGAAGCCTAAGAGCACCCGGACGCCTCCCCGAGCTCGGGAGCCCCTCAGCAAGCCGTTCTGCTGTACCTGGCACAGGCTCCTGGCCCGACGCCGGCTCCACCCAAGTCTGGAGCTTTGTACCGACAAGTTCAAGGCATTTTCAGGGCCAGCTGCAGGTTTTTCCTGTAACTGCTAAGGGAAAAACGCAGCTGGAGGCACTTAGAGCTCTGCAGATTCCTGCAAAACCGAGAAGCCTGTATCTGCAGCTTTCTGGTTTTTAACAGCACCCGCCAGTCCGACTGTTGCAGCTACACCCGGCGAAGGTCCTACGATGGAAACTGAGGCATCTGCTGGGCCCCTCAGCCCACAGCCAACCTGCCAAGGCGATTCCCTCCCGGAGCCAGGGCCGAGCGCCGGGGTCGCGTGGCCGAGGTGTGACGGCAGGTTTTAAACATGCCCTTACGGCCACGGGGCTGGGCCGCGGCGAGCTCTTCTCGTGCATGTCAGGTCCCAAAAGAGCGACGGGAGAGGAGAGCCAAGCTCCGTGCGTGCACGCGGACAGAAAGCCGAGCGTGCCCGGAGCAGAACTGAGCAAGGTCATTAAACCCCTTAAATCGACCTCGGTAACTGGGCAAAAACCAGGTTTGTGGGATAGGTAGGAGCAGAATAAGAGCATCACCGCCCCGGTCTCCTCCAGGACCCTGGGATGGAGGAGGCCGTCCGGGAGCGAACGGCACCGGAGGTTGCGGGCAGGGGACCGACACCGGGAACCCGCTTGTCAGCCTCAGTGATGCTTTTGGAGCAAATCGTTTCACAACCAGCCTCACCGCGGAGCCTCCGACACCCTCAGCACTCTCCGCCTGGGCTCCCAGCCAGGGGCAAACCCTTGCCAGGGACGAAGCGGCCGCCCA